GCATATACATTAGGGATGCACCGATAACGGTATTTTGGTGCAGAGTACTGATCATTTTTTTTCGGTACTCGGCGTGTAATGATTCGCCTCCCTGGCTTCCTGATTAGCCAGGAAGCGTGTAAAGACTCGCCACCCGGCTTCCCGATTAACAAGAAAGTCTATATGTCCAGTTTATCACCCCCGGGCCTCTCCAGCAAGAACGCGGCCTTCCTCCGGTACCCAGTCGGAGCCGTCTGGCCGGCCAATCAGGAAGCTTTCTGATTAAGATAACGAGGGAGCATGAAGCCAGCATCCTGGCCAAACAGAAAGCAGGGCTCTGCATCATTACACGGCGCCCAGCTTCCTGATTGGCCGGGAAGTCGGCTCCATGCTCTCTCATCACAAGTGACGAGAGAGCATGGAGCCGTGCTGTCCGGCTTTCTGATACAGGAAGTACTCGTGCTAGGCATCGGAGCATTTGGGCGAGTACGAATACTCGCCAAATACTCGGTATCCGCGCATCCCTAATATACATATATACACACACACATACAGTACTGTGCAAAGAAAATTAGGCAGGTGTGAAAAAACAGTAACCTGGAAGAATTATTTCAGAAATAAAAGTGTTAATACCTTATTTTTATCAATTAAACTGGAAAGTAATTGAACAGAACAGAGACCCATATCAAATCAATATTTGGAGTGACCACTCTTTGCCTTCAAAACAGCATTAAGTCTTCTAGGTACACTTGCACACAGCTTTTGAAGTAACACGGCAAGTAGGTTGTTCCGAACATCTTGGAGAACTAACCGCAGATTTTCTGTGGATGTAGGCTGCCTCAAAGCCTTCTTGTAATCCCAGACAGACTCAATGATGTTGAGATTAGGGCTCTGTGGGGGCCAAACCATAATTTCCAGGCTCCTTGTAGTTTACACTGAAGATAGTTCTTAATATGACATTGGCTGTGTGTTTGGGGTCGTTGTCCTGCTGCAGAATAAATCTGGGGCCAGTCACATGCCTCCCTGTTGGTATTTCATGATGGATAAGTATCTGCTTGTATTTCTCATAGAGCTGCAGCTAACGATTATTTTCAAAATCGGTTAGCCGATTATTAAGTTCGATTAATCGGTTAAAAAATAAAATGTTTTAAAAAATGGCTCCAGTGATGGGACTACTAGTTTGTATTCAGATTGTAGTCCATCACAGGAGCAAGCTTGGGGTGGTGGAAGTAAAAAAAAAACAAGTGCGGTGTGCAATATAGTGAAATGGAAAGTGTAAAATTATACAGCAATGAATGCAGAATTGCACCAGCTAAAGAGGACTACAAATCCCAGCAATAGTACATTATACAGCGCAATGCAGAATACCACCAGCTAGAGAGTAGCACAACAAATCCCAGCAATAGTACATTATAGCTGGCAGTGTTCTGCATTGCGCTGTATAATGTACTATTTCTGGGTTTTGTAGTCCTCTATAGCTGGTGGTATTCTGCATTGCACCACTGTATAATGTATTATTGCTGGGATTTGTTGTATTCCTCTATAGCTGGTGGTATTCTGCCTAGCGCTGTATAATGTATTATTGCTGGGATTTGTAGTCCTGTATACAGCGCAATTCAGAATACCACCAGCTATAGAGGAATACAACAAATTCCAGCAATACATTATACAGTGTATAATGTATTGCTGGGATTTGTATTCCTCTATAGCCGATGATACATTGCTCTGTATGATATACAGCACAATGTACCATCAGCTATAGAGGAATACAAATCCCACTATCAGCAACTTGCTTCCGAGATCGGGCCAGTCTATCGGCGGCTGTCATCCACCCACGTCTGCTCCTCCTTACTTCTTCTCACCGTGTCCCTGTGCCGATCTTGGATGTGGGCGGGCGGCGAGCGTGAGGCGGTGTGTGGAGTGTGAATGCAGGCGGGCGGGTCTGGCAGCGGCGAACATGAGGTGGGGAGGAGGTGTGGCGTGTGGCGTGTGTGTGGAGCCGTGAACAGGGCCAACTAATCGAAAGCTGATTAATCGATGATTGAAAACATTGACAACTTTTTCAAAAATCGATTTAGTCGATTAGTTGGTGCAGCCCTAATTTCTCAGCAATGAGGACACTATTGATCCTGACCAAATCTCAAACTCCATTGGCAGAAATTAGGCCCCAGGCTTGCAAGAAACCTCCACCATGCTTCACTATTGCTGCAGACTTATTATTGTACCTCTTTCCAGCCCTTTGGCGAACCAACTGCCTCCTGCTACAGCCAGATATTTCAAATCTTTGAAATATTTGGCTGTCTACTGATAATTCTGAATAAAATGATTAAGTGATTTATCTCATATATGCACATTACATTAAATACACCAAGAACCTAAAAGTACTGGCTACAGTAAAAGCACACTGAGGTCCACCATCAAATTCACACTGGTACAGGGAGAGATTTTATTTACTTTACCATTACACTTCAACTGTGCTTACTTTTCTTCTACAACCTCCCAAAATCCTATTTCAGCCCAAACCCACAAAAATTGTCAGATTAAAAAATTAGTAGTTGGACTTCAAGGCTTATCCATTCCTTCTTTTTAAAAGGGTTACATTTTCAAAAGGTAAGTGATCAATGACTACTATCTTGATTACTTGGTTGCAGTTCGCGTGGCTCAGATATCAGTTATTTCCTGTATGTATTATCAAACAACGACACTTACGTACCATCATATGTTCCGCTCTCCAACAAAACTCCACTGTCTTCTAATGCTTTGAACTGTTCCACTGTAATGAAATTATAATCAACACCTGGGACTTCACCATCTCTTGGTGATCGTGTTGTACCTAAAGTGAAACAAATACCATGAGAGTAAAGGCTGAGTTAGGATTACATAACAAACAATAATATATATATATTATAAATTTATATATACATTTATATTAAAAAAAGGACAAGGAAAAGAAAAGGATTACAACAACAGATACAGAACTGGACCCTTGGGGTCTATGTAAATTAGAGGACAGAAAGCAAATCCAAACAGAATTTGGATCAAAAGTGCATGATATTTAAGAGAGCTCCTCGGTATGAAACTAGGGCAATGAATAATGCAGGAAAAGGGAATGCAAAGAACAGAAAAGTTTTTGTGAAGTCTGGGAGGCATGGCAAAGACTGAAGGGGAACATGATTTGTTTTCCATGAACTAAACAATGAATACCTTTGAAACGAGAAGAATCAAGATTACAGTGACACTGGAATGGTTTTGAAAACTCCTCATTTGCTCAAGTCTGTTAGCATATAATTAACAAATGGGTATACTCAGAAAAGCTATATATTCTGCCCTGAAGCTCTTTGTACAGGCTCCACCTCTTTTGTCCGTAAACATCTTAAACAACTACTTTGAGAAAATTCAAATCAGTAGATGTTACTGTCTGATTTATTTGCAAACATTCCATTGGTCTGTACAGTTCAATAAATAAAGAGTCTACAAAGAAAGTTACAAATAGAGGACTTGCCAAACTCAATAGACTGTTACACATCTGAATTTACCCGAACCTTTTGGGAGCTAACTTGAGTCTCAGCTTAGGAACATAACTAGTGTACACAAAAATACACTTTCTTTTTTTCTCCTCATTGAGAAAAAGGAAGGATTGTCTTAGAGAGATTTTCCGCCATAGTTTGAAAACTTCCATGTGCGGTAACAAATACTTCAGACAAAATAATTTATACAGACTCCAGGCACATACATCTCAACAAGCTCTGTACCCCATTCCCTTCAGTTCTGATGTTACATTTAGCAGGAAATGTCCACATGATCTTAGACAAGCCAAAATGTGAAAGGAAAATAGTGGACGAAAACGGCATATTTTGTACCTCTCCTGGTTGGTTGATTGCAGTCAGGGATTATTATTTAAAGAGGAAGTGATGAAGATTTACAACACCTCAAAATAAATGTGAATAAATGTAAAAAAAACCCACTAATAACATTTATATAGAGTATGGGTGTTTGTACCGCTACAAATATCTTTTTGCGAAAAGGTAAAAAAATTACGGTACGCAAAACTGTAAATAAGCAACTTATGTTAAAAAATTGTTTTCACGCTGTGTTGGTGTTTGTGTTGTGATAAAATGATACATGATAGCTGAGGAAAAAGCATCCAGCTACCTAGGACCCTAGCACAAAAAAAAACGAATCATTAAGGTTAGGGACAGGGTTATAGGGTAACTGGTCTTCATCTTTGTTTTGCCAGTTACTACCTCATGTAGGCAGCTGCATATAACCTATATGCCCAAACGTTAGTAGATTCCTATGTTCCTCAATGGACAATAAAGAAAAGCACATTAAACCATGTTAGGAATGGAAATCACTAGCAAAACAAAACCTATAAAAAAATTAAACATGTCCAAACAGATTACAACTGCTGTCAATTCGGCAGTCTGATCCCTACAGGACATATAACTAATTCACTGGAGTTGCAGAGGCAAAGGGCATTTTTCACACTGGCTAAGAGGATATATTAACATAGCAAGATTTAGGCTGGCAGCATAAAAAGATGAAATAAGAAAGGATGTTATAAATGATGAAATCTGCCTTGGGGATCAATACAGAAAGGAAGCAAATGTAAATCATAAAAAATCAGATTAAAAGTGGCTCGGGCTGTGCAGCATATTGAGATTTCAACTAACTGCACTGGGTTGTACGTATCAACACCGAATCATCATAAATCTATCGTTACATAGGGGGAAAAAAACTTTTGCAAAACAATACAGTTTTTCTTGCCATACGTTTACCCTATCCTTGCCATTGTTTACAGAAGCCACTGCCAGATATAAACTATTCAGCTAATAATTCATTAAAGCGTAATAAGTGAGGGGGGGGCACACTCAAAAAATCTGTTCCGTCAATCACTGCCTGCACATCAAGAATATATCTGCCCTTAAACTCCGCTTCCCTGAGCTTCCTGTGGAGCACAAGATCACAAGGGCTAGCACAGTCCCCAGCAGACATTATTATTATACAAGATTTATATAGCGCCAACAGTTTGTGCAGCGCTTTACAATATAAGGAAGACATTACAATTACAATACAATTCAAGACAAGATGGTAAGGAGAGCCCTGCCCCTGAGGGCTTACAATCTAAAAGGGAGGGGCCAGTGATACACGAGGAGGTAGCTATGTGGGGATGAATTGTTTGAGAATGTGATAGTTCAGTGGTTAGGTTGAGGTGGGATAGTCTTTAGGGATCGCCTAAAGCAGTCAAGGTGGGAGACTGACAGGTTGGGGTAAAGAGATCCAGAGGATGGGAGAGACACTAGAGCAGTCCTGGAGGCGAGTATGGGAGGAGATGACAAGGGAGCTGGAAAGCAGGAGGTCTTGGGAGGAGCGGAGGGGGCGGTTAGAGTGATATTTAGAGACAAGCTTTAAGATATATCCGGGGGCAGAGTTGTGGATGGCTTTATAAGTGATATTTTGAATTGTATCCTTTGGACGAGTGGAATCTAATGCAGGGATTGGCAGAGGGGGGCTACAGATACTGAGCGGTTGGTCAGGTGGATGAGACCAGCAGCTGCATTCATGATAGACTGAAGGGGGATAGCCTGTGTAGTGGAAGGCCAATGAGGAGGGAGTTGCAATAGTCAAGACAGGAGATAACAAGGGAGTGGATAAGTAAATTAGCGGTTTCATTGGTGTGAAAGGGGCGTATTATGGAAATGTTACGAAGGTGAAGGCAGCAGGATTTGGATATTGATTGGATGTGGGGAAGAAAGGTGAGGTCTGAGTCAAGGATGACACCTAGCTCCTTGGCATGAGGGGAGAGATGGATGGTTGTCGTATCAATGTCAAGGGAAATGTTGAGGGAAGGTGCACGGGTAGGAGGAAATATCATGAGCTCAGTTTTTGAAAGATTGAGTTTTAAGAAGTGTTGTGACATCCAGACTAATATGTCAGTTAGTAGATTAGTGACACGCAAGGCCACGGAGTGGGTGAGTTGTGGAGTAGAAAGATAGCTTTGAGTGTCATCGGCATAGAGATGGTATTGGAAGCCATGTGAGGTTATTAATGGACCAAGAGAGGTGGTGCAGATAGAAAAAAGAAGGGGTCCAAGGACTGAGCCTTGTGGAACCCCTACAGAAAGAGGAAGAGGAGGGGTGGAGTTAGATTTGTAGCTGAAATTAAAAGGAGCGCTTAGCTACGTAGGAGGAGAACCATGAGAGAACAGAGTCTTGTAGGCCAAGCAAGTGTAGTTTTTTTTGAGGAGGAGCGGGTGGTCAACAGTGTCAAAAGCAGCAGAAAGGTCTAATAGCAAGAGTAAGGAGTAGTGGCCATTGGTTTTAGCAGTTAGTAAGTCATTGGTGAGTTTTAGGAGGGTGGTTTCAGTGGAGTGCACAGGGTGAAAGCCGGACTATAAGGGGTCGAAAAGGTTATTAGCAAGGTGGCGACTCAGACGGTTGTAGATAAGTCGTTCTAATAGTTTGGAGGTGTTGGGAGTAAGGAGATAGGTCTGAGATTATTGAGGTTGGTAGGTCCAGTGAGGGTTTTTTGGGTATTGGGGTGACCAGAGCATGCTTTAGAGGGGAAGGAAAGATGCCAGTAGAGAGGGAAAGATTTAAATGTGAGTAAGAGAGTGTAGGATAAAGTAAGAGGGTGACCGAAGTAGTCGTGAGGGAACAGGGTCTAGGGGGCAAGTGGTGATGTGGGTGTCAGAGAGAAGCTTTGTAACCTCCTCTGTGGTGACAGGGTCAAAAGAGGAAACTAACAAGTGTGATGGTGGGTCTGGTACATTAATCGGGGAAGATGATTGGACAGTGGTGATCTGATCCCGAATTGTATCTATTTTGTTTTTGAAATGAATGGCAATGTCCTGGGCAGTGAGTGAATTAGTGGGCTGTGGTGGTGGGGGACATAGTAGAGACTTAAAGGTAGAAAAGAGTTGACAAGGTTTGGATGAGAGTGTGTTAATGAGAGCGACAAAATACGTTTGTTTGGCAACACAGAGGGAGGAATTAGATTTTAGGAGGGCAGCTTTATACAAGGTGAAGTTTTGCAGGGACCTAGTTTTCCGCCACAGTCGCTCAAGAGTGCGGCTATGTCAGACATCCATTTACTGGCTTGGAGAAAGAGGGGAGGGAGGAGTGGTGGGGAGGGAGCATGGGAGTGACTTGCTGTGCCTGTGTTTGTGGAGACCCACACAGCTCACTAGCACACACAAGGGTGACTCCATAGAACCCTGCGCCACCCTAAAGCAGGATATCACAGCCAGTGGTCAGGGAACCAGCTGAAGGAAGAGCATCCGCAAGTGATTTAAACAGAAATTAAAATAGCTTACAAATCTTTAGACTTTAATATCACTTTAAACGGGCTTAGGCTGGGTGCCTGAAACAATTTGTGGAGCAGGTTTAGGAAGGTGCCACTGCTTCTCCCAGAGATAGAACTCTAAAACGATGAACTAAAAAGAACAGGTGTTGAGAAATTAAAAATAAGAAAAACCCAGAAAGGTAAAATTTCAAAATGATGGGAGGTCTTTACATGAGCTTTATAGTAGCATGCTGTTGCCTTAGTTCTATGTGTTATCAAAGCGAAATCCTGGTTTTGTCAGGTAGTACAGCTACCACTGCACCTCTGGCTTGCTGCCGAGATCATTGCTTTAGACATCCATTCTTAAAGATCCATTAGACATCGGCATTTTCATGTCTCTACCCCTCCTTTAACCATCACAAAATGCACAACAGCAGGCAGTTGGGCTTTAATAACCCTCTGATGTTTTTTCTCCACATAAGCATAATTTAACGGATACGGGCTAAACGACGGTATTTGAGGAATACTTAGGCGAACATGTGAGTCTTA